TTCAACTGGGTCATGTGATAGCTTATGCTTCGACGCAGCTAAAGCCTCACAAGGCTAACTATCATACGTACAATCTAGAGTTGGGAGTTGTGGTGTTCGCCCTCAAGATTTGGCGGCATTACCTCTATGGGGTCCGTTATACCATTTACACGGACAACAAGAGTTTGAGGTACCTCATGGATCAGCTGAATCTGAACATGAGGCAGCGTCAGTGCTTAGATGTGGTGAAGGACTATGATTCTGAGATCCTCAACCACCCGGGCAAGGACAACGTAGTTGCCGACGCCCTAATCCGTAAAGCAATAGCGGCCCCGATTTGAGACATTTGTTTAACGATGACAGTGATTACTCCATTACTGGAGCAGATCCGAGAGGCACATGTTGAGGGCCAGAAGGAGGATTTCCGGAAGTGCGAGCGGATCATAGGCCAGGTGGCCTCCTTTGATTATGATAGTCATGGATTGTTGACCCTACAGGGGAGGGTTTAGGTACCGTATTGGGGTGGAGTACGACATATATTGATGGATGAGGCCCAAAAGTCCAGCTTCTCCATCCATCCCGGGGTAAAAGCGATATCTGTGGGGCCCCTCGATGATTTAGTGATGACAACCCTAAGTGATTGGCCAAGCCTGGACTGATTTGGTTTGTTCAATTAGTTGGTCGTTATAAATCGGAAATTGGAAACAATAGATGGACATAGATAATGATTATAATCCATACCTCATGTCCATATGATATCTAAAATGGAGGAATATATGATCACTTATCTAATGGACGCGCCATTGACTAGGTCAGAGTTCAACAACGACTTTTAAGAGCTACGATTGCTAGTCAGGATTTTGGAGTTGTACTTGCAATAATAGTTATTAGACTTATACAAGTGGGAGACTGTTGGATTAGGTGTCAAATCCCATAACTATAATTGGTATGTACTTGACCCTAGAGTAACATGGTCCATTTCGAGTTGCATATCACCAAGAGAATTTGATTAGATGGATACTTGAGTAAGAGGTTACTTATGATTTATTAATATATTATAAGTTCTAATATATTAATATGAAATCATAGTATTTAATTAGTATTGATCAGTAATTAATTTGAAATTAATTATGTGATCAAAATAGACTAGTTAAATATATGGGAATTGGTTTGGTAAATCAATGATTCTTATAGTGTGGGCTAATTGTTATTTAAGATGGGCTAAACCAGTATGGTAGTCCATGGATAGTCCATGAGGTTTAACCCATGGGGCCTAAGTAATATTAAAGGTCGTGGGCATTAGGGTTTGCATGTAACCCTAGACTTTGACACACTATAAAAGGAATCCCTTAGCTCCTAAAATCGGCCTAGAAGTGTTCTCAGAGTTCATAGGAGCCGATTTTGAAGCCAACAACCTATCACTCAAGTTCTCCTTTTTGTCCTAGGTGTATATTGAACCGTTTGAGGTATCACACTTGGGGTGATAAGTTCTTAAAGGCCAAATACAACAATTTCTACAAGCTACATAAAGAGGTAAACTCATAACTAGTATTTTATGTTGTATATGACAATTGTATGCTAGTTGTAGGTTAAATGCTTTGGAAACAATATTGCATGTATAATTAGAGAAAACATATATCCAAAGCATTTAGGGTTGTATGTGCATCATAAGATGTTGTAGTATACTAAAACCCAACACGGAGCAGGCTCCAGACTGCTCAGAGTCGACAAAAGAGCTATGCCGACAAGCGGCGTTCAAATTTGGAGTTTCGGGAGGGCGAAATGGTCCTTCTGAAGGTATCATCCTAGAAGGGTGTCATCCGGTTCCAAAAGCGGGACAAGTTGGGTCCCAAATATATCGACTCCTTCAGATTCATTGCCCGGGTGGCCAAGGTAGCGTATCGATTGGATCTTCCCGTAGAGCTCATCCAGATCCACAACACTTTCCATGTTTCCCAACTACGAAAGTGATTGGTGGATGACACGACAGTTATGCCCTCCGAGGATATTCACGTCGATGGCAGCTTGAATTACATTGAGAGACCGGTGAAGATTATGGATTGCAAGAGCAAGGAGCTGAGGAACAAGAGGGTTGAGCTAGTGAAAGTATCGTGGGAGCACTGTAAGGGTTCAGAGCAGACATAGGAGCCCGAGAAGGAGATGAGGGAGCACTACTCGGAGTTGTTTCCAAATGCAGCAGACTTCGAGGATGAAGTCTAAGATAAGTGGGGGAGAGTCGTAATGCCTAGTTCCCTGGTACGCTTTTAATTAAACTATTTATTTATTTTGAAATAAGGACTCGACGAGTTGGTGGCCCTAACTAGTCAAGTAGAGGGCAAACTATGCGTGGGGTTTAAGTTATCGACTTGGTAAGTAGAGTCTCGGACTCAGCGAGTAGCTTGACCAGGGTGAAACCCTAGATTCGGGGTTTGCACCCTATTTAAGCACCTTATTCAGCCTTCACCCCAGCCCCCATTACCTCCACACCCTACTTTCGAAACCCTAATCAACCTTGTGTGTTCTTGAGCTATTTTCTTTCCATTTTGTGATTTGAAGCTAGAATGAGAAAGGAAATGCTAGAAGATCCAAAGAGAAGGCAGAAGATCTAGAGCTTGGGTTGCATTTCAGACTTATTGGAGGTATAAAGCATATACCTTGGCTTATTTTCACTTAGATCTTCATTTAATTTTTTTTGTTGTCACTTTTGGCCATTTCTAAGGTCATTTCCAAGTTTTGGGCTCTAGTTGGAGTTAGGACTTCAGATATGGGCTCTCTTGAGCTTTAGAATCTTAAAGTTGCCACCTTTATTAGCCATGTCCCTATTCCATGCACTAGGTCTCCATTTTAGCTTAGTTTTGGTGTTTATGCTTCATAACACTATGCATGCACGTAAAGTAGCAACTTTACGTGTCATGTTAGCCTAACATGTCAAAATCTAAGAGTTGTGGCATTAGAATCGATTAGAATCAGCGGATTGAGTTTGGGGTTTGAGGGAACTCGGCGAGTTATATATCTAACTCGGCGAGTCGGATTCTAACTCCCTTCTTGTACAGTTTTGGACCAACCCAATGAGTCTAGGAGACAACTTCGTGAGTTTATAAAAGGTGTTAGAGTGAGGAAGACTGAGGAACTCGTCGAGTTCAAGGAGGTACTCGACGATTTACCTGGAAATCTCCCGATGCTATGATAGGAAGAACTCGACGAGTTGTGAAAGAACTCGTCGAGCTGGGAGGATTTTTCGATGTATCCTGATTTGTGGAACTCGGCGAGTTGAAAGACCAACTCGACGAGTCGAGTCGTTTTGTCTCGATCCTCTACAAGGTAGAACTCGACGAGTCTGTGAAGGGACTCGACAGGTTGACTTGGTTTATTATGAGGCTGATTAGTGTTTCACTTTGCATGTTGTGACTTCCAGAATAACTAGGTTATTATTTCCGAATGACTAAGTTATTGAAAACTCTCCACAGTCGGTCATACGTTGGAAGTAGGTATTGAATTAAGATTGTCATGAATTTGGCTTGTAAGATTTGTCTAAGGTGCATTAGACATGGCAATGGTTGCTGAAACCTTCATGAGTGATCATAAGGTCTGAGTATTGGATGAAACCAATGCTCAATTGTATCACTTCAAGGAATTTATTTCTGATCGTGAGACGGTAATATCATATATATCTTCAAACCTAGAGATATGAGTTATTGACTATGAGTTGGTTATCCATTGATTGTATGAAAACGTATCGGTAACTTGATGTCATAAAACGTGCTTTTATGCATAATTCAACAAGTAATTAGTACAAGCATATGAGTCGAAGTTTATTTGTTCCTTCTAGCAATAGAAGCGATATTTGGGCCCCTCGATGATTTGGTTTTGACTTATGTGTCGGGCCCGGTCAGAACCTAATTGATATGTTCAATTTAGTTCTATGTCAAACAAATTAGAGATCGAGAAACAATTGTTGGACAATAAGTACAACACTGTTCCATGTATTTGTCCGGTTGATGTCTTGAGAGCAGAGGATTATATGATCACTTATCTAAAATGGCGCTTCATAGTTCAAAAAAGTTTTAAAGAGCTACGATTGTTGGTTGGTTCCTGGAGTTATCCTTGCAGCTATAGTTATCAGACTTATCCAAGCGGGAGACTGTTAGATAAGGTGTCTAAGTCCGTAACTATATTTGGTATGAACTTGACCTGACCCGGCATGGTCCATTTGGGTTGCACTTCACCTAACAATTTGTATGGATATACTTTTGAGAATAAGATGTCTATGATCTATTAATATATTACAAGTTATAATATGTTAATATGAAATCATATTATTTAATTAGTGTTGATCAAGAATTGATTTTGGAATTAATTTAGTGATAAAAAAAGGCTAATTAAATATGGACTCTTACATATATATATATATATATATATATATATATATATATATATATATATATATATATGGATTGGGCTAAGATTTATTTAGGATGGGCTAAGAGTACATGGAAGTCAATGGATAGTCCATGGAGTTTGTAACCCATGGATCCTAGGTAAATGAAGAGTCATGGGTATTAGGGTGTAACCTTAATCCTCTATTCCATATAAAGAGGTCTTTGGTTCTAGAATTGGCACGAGTGTGTGCGAGAAACAAGAGTTGGTCGATTTTAGTGAGCATCATATTATCTCAAGTATTTCCAACTTGTTTTAGGTGATTTGTGACACCATTTGAGGCATCCACACTATTGGTGCTAAGCTCTAAAACTCCAAGCAATCAACTACAAAAGAAAGGTATGTTATTCTACTTAAAGTTTTGTATTACAAGTACCCCATAACATGCTAGTTAGGTTGTAAACCTTGGAAATCAAATTTATATGTATTTTAAAGAAAACATAGATCCAAGGTTTCTAGGGTTGCATGTACACCATATGAGTGTTAGAATGCTCAAAACCCATCAAATACTAGCAGTTGGCGCAATGTCATATGAAGTGAGAAGGTTACAACACGTAATGTATGCATGTATCATATTACATAATATGATTCTTGAAAACAAAGGAAGAGCGATATGCCGGTACAACCAAAATGAAGTTTTGCCAAATATCGAAGGAGTAGCCGTTGGTATGCAAAAGTATAGGGCAAATGGAAGAGAAGTACACAATCGCGACATTCATCACGCCCTTTGTACTGATTCGGTGGAGCACGTTTATAGGGCTCATAATCAGCCGCCGATAGAGTATTGGCACGATGATTTGTTTGACGAATCAGATGAGGATTCTGATATGTTCGTTGAGAGCAAAGATTTTGATGATGAGAGTGACGTTCAGGAGAATGATGAAGACGATGAGGTCGATGACGAGGACGATGATTCCAAGTGACGTGTTTTGTTTTTTTTTTTAATTAGTATATTAATTATGTTTTCTATGTTGTGGTTTGTTTGATTTTTTGTTTCTGTATTTTTTTTTTTTAATTTTCTACTTATTTAAATACTAGGTTTAATGTAAATTTTATTTAATTAATGAAATGTTTTTATTTTTAATTATATTTTATGTTCATTATTAATTTAAAAATTATAAATCATACAAATGAATTAATTTTATTAAAAAAAAATAGTGATGGAAGTTTCTCATCCATTCATTGGATTTTAGTGAGCGAAAAAAATGATGTGACAGGGAAAACGTAAGGGAAACTCCTCACCCACAACCTGTGGTCTTAAAACATTCATAAGCCTTTGTTGTCCAATGTTTGATGTAATGGAAAAATATTTGCTGCTTTTTATTTATTGTTTTGACAACATTAATATTGTAGTTTTTTTTAACAATATCTGGCAGCTTTTTTGTTGTTTTGGCAGCTTCAATTATAGTTTTTTAATAATATTTGGCAGAATTTTTGTTGTTTTGACTGTTTTAATATTACAGTTTTTTTAACAATATTTGGCAGATTTTTTGTTGTTTTAATAACATCGCGGTTTTTTAACAATCTAATAGACTCGACTAAAATGGGCATAAAAAGCCCAAACCGTGAAACCAAACCGGAGCCAAACCGTTAGGAACGGTTTTGTTTTGTTCGATTTTAATTTTTGAACGGTTCGATTTTGGTTTTCGCTTGACAAAAACCATAACTAACGGTGTGACTTTGATTTGACCTAAAAACCGAAAAACCAGACCGTGAACACCCTTAGAATGATGATTTTCCATCGGAGTATCAGGTAGCATGTGTGCCGCGAGGCAGTGATTTACTATGAGCAGATAGTCAGTTGGGACTGAGATAGTCGAGGACCACGTTACACCTATTTGAGTATAGTAGGGCGTATGGTAGTGGCATCAGTGGGGAGTCTAGTCGAGTTTATCAGTGCAGTGGTTTTCTATCTATGCTGGGTATTGAATATGGGAGTGGGTCCCTGTTCTTGGGATGATCCACGTGTTGGAATGTTGGTTGATGAGTCGAGGTGGGGGAGCATGATGATTTCGTGGTTCAGTCTATGAGCTAGCGATGTTATTGGTCAGCTGAGTTGTTTGGTATTGGATTGATATGAGACTTGGAACAACTAGAGGCAGTCGTGACGAGAAGTTTGAGGATTTCATTTGAGGTTCAGAGTATATGAGATCGATTGATTTCCTTAAAGGGAATTATCGGGCGTTGTGTAGCACTTTCCAGGGGCAGGTGCGTTATTGCTGGTGAAAATAATTTGTGTGATTGTTGATGTGTCAGATAGTGATGGTTCGAACCCTAAGTGGGGGAGAACCGGGTGGTTTGTTGAGAGAACCAGAGATTTATGCAAGAGCAATTAGGGGTTGGATACAGAAACCTGCGGCTTGAATTCATGAGATCAGGGTCATTGGTGATCAAGGAAAGGTGCAGGGCGAGATAATGCATGTGGTATATGTCTGAGAGAAGGATGGGCGTCTCCACGACGAATAGTCAACGGTCAGGAATCTGATGGTGGTCGGAGTCGTTTCAAGTGGAAGACTCGTAATGATGGTATGGGCAGTTGAGAACCTCTGGGTTGAAATATGGGTAGAAGATTGTTGAGTAGCCAACTCCCGGGCTAGGATGTGTATTCTTGCTTGGATTTTGAGCAGTAGTGGAAAGGGTTTATGAGGATCATCAATGTGTTCTGAAGAGTTAGCGCCTTCCTTGTATTCCATTTGAGTGTTTGGATGCACGGAAGTTGCGTTTTGAGTAGAATAGGAAATATTTATAGGATTGAGAGGAAATGTATTGATGTATGTGTATGGTGCTGGGAGAAAGGGAATCAGTGGTAGAGGCAGTACATTGTGATGCTCTGTTATGGTGTTCCGTGGTTTCTGCGTATAGCGTCCCTACTTCGGAGTTATTTAGAGTCTTGGGTTTAAGACGACTAATAATGTGTCATGTATCTTCGATTCCACTGGGATCCCTTCGATTATTGTCATCAAAAGGGATTATTTAAGGAAGTAGATCCTCGCAGAGGTAGGTTCTGTGTTATGGCGATTGCCGCCAGAGTCTGTAATGCATATCGGGGCAAGTGTGTGTGTAACTATCTATGATAGTCGTCGGTGCATGAGTTAGTGAGAATAGTGTGGCGTTGTAATGAGAATGAGAGTATAGGGTGAAGCTACGAGGAGGCGTAGTATTCACCAGTCAGAGGGTGTTGTGATGCTACGGGGAGTCGTAGTACTCACAAGACAGAGGGAGGGAGTCGTGGTACTACGGGGAGTCGTAGTACTCACTAGTTAGTTGGCATTGTGATACTACAGGGAGCCATATTATCACTAGTCAGAGGTTGTTGTAATGTTGCGGGAGGCTATAGTACCCACTAGACGACAAGATAGTATGATGATGGAGTGTTCTCCGATAAGTGCATGATGCAGAAGAGTTTTAGGCTTGAGTAGCCCTAGTGTTGAGTTTATGGAGCCTAGTGGTTAAACCGGGGTGAGACTGGGGTCTCCGTCTCTGTCGGGAGGGTCAGCGAGGCACGCGGGAGAATATGCGCAACAGACGAGGTTAGAGCCGAGACGATCTTCGATTGGATTGTATTTTTCAGGGGGAAATTGTGGCCCGTATTTTCCCTTGGCAGAGTTTTCCTACAACAACCATCATTAGTGCATCGGTATGCCACCCTTTGAGTTGTTATTGGGAAGGTGGTATCGGACCCCATTTGCTGAGAAGAGGTAGGGCAACGTGTGATGGGAAGTACGGAGATCGTGTTTCAGACGTCAGAGCAGTTACAGCAGGTCAGGCAGGGATTGTTAACCGCTCAGAGTAGCTAGAAGAGCTATGCGGACGGGCGCCGGTCCGAGCTCGAATTTTTGGTCGGTGATTTTGTACTCCTTAAGGTATCTCCTTGGAAAGGAGTGATTCGATTCAGTAAGAGGGGCAAGCTAGGGCCCCGATATAATGGGCCAATCAGAGTGATCGCAAGAGTAGGCAGGGTAACGTATCGCTTGGAGCTATCTGCGGAGTTGGAGCGGATTCATAATACCTTCCACGTGTCTCAGCTGAGGAAGTGTATAGTCAACGAGTCGACGGTAGTGCCGTTAGAGGAAAACCATGTGGATACAAGCCTGAACTACGTGGAGAGACCAGTAGCGATTATGGATTAGGAGATCAAGGTTCTGAGGAACAAGGAGGTGTCGCTGGTGCGGATCCAATGTCAACATCGGAAAGGATCCGAGTTGACTTGGGAACCAGAGCGGGAGATGCGTGAGCAGCATCCGGATCTATTTATGGGATGAGACTTCGAGGGCGAAGTCTGATTCAAGTGGGGGAGAATTGTAACATCCGGAATTCCAGGTATTATTTTATTCTTTCATTTTTTGGGTGATTGTGAGGAGACTCGGCGAGTTGGAGTCTAAACTCGCCGAGTAGGATCGCGGTTTTGTGCGCGGGTTCGCATCTGGACTCGGCGAGTCCATGCTGTTTAATGAAACCCTAATTTCCAGGGTTTGAGACCTATTTAAAGGGGCTTATGGCCGTCATTTGCGGCCACCAACCCCAAAGAGAAACCCTAAAGAGCTTTTGAGCGTTTTGGGAGAGAGAATAGGCCATTGTTGACTTTTGAAGCTTGGTTTGGCAAGGCAAAGGGGATTCTAGCTAAGAGGAGGCAACGGAGGTAGACATCCTTCGATTTTGGAGCTCATAGCATCATTTTGGAGGTATATTTTGGCTCCCTTTTTCTGTTGTAATGATGAACATGGGGGTTTAGGGTTTCTTGACCCCTTTGTTGGTTAGATTTGATGTCCATTTCATCCCTATTTGTGATGAGGTTTGAGATGGGATCCATAGAGGTTCAAAGAAGATTTATTCCTTAAGCTTTATGAGGATTCATGGGAGTTTTGACTTAGAGTTATGAGATATGGGGCTAAAACATCATTTAGGAGCAAATAGTTGTTGTTTGAGCACCAAGGTTTGGACTTTACGTGATTATCATGCTTGGGGAGGCCAGATCTATGATTGTATGGAACAGATCTGACCTCATAAGTGAGTTTGAGTTTATGCATGGCATGGACTCGCCGAGTCTGAAGAATAGACTCGGCGAGTAGCATGAAGTTTGCCCGTAACCACTCAACGAGTGGTCTTGTCGAGTTGAGGGGTCGACTCAGTGAGTCAGGGAGAGTCAGGGGGGGGGGGAAACTAAGTCAAGCCATAACTCGCCGAGTTGTTCTTGATACTCGGCGAGTTGAGTCGTGGTGGCCCCACGATTTATGCCAGGTGAAACTCGTCGAGTCAGAGAAGTACTCGGCGTGTCAAGAGAGGATCCAAGGGGGTCAGTGGACACGTATAGACTCACCGAGTCGCCCTAATGCACTCGCCGAGTCCGATCAAAGTTGATCGTTGACCTTGTTGACCTTTAAGGTTGAGTTCACTTGTATTAATGAGTATATTACTTTGTGTGATTAGGTGGAGTCTAGATCACATTTATTCCGAGATAGATATTTACCGAGATACGCGAGGTGAGTCTTCTCACTATACTTTATCTTGAGTAGGTAACCAGAGTTATGTGACAGAGTATTTGTATGCTATATATGTTATGTGTTGTACCACATTATTTCTATGTGATTTATGCTGTGCATGTTTACAGAGTTAGAACCGGAAGGTTCCCAGAGTTAAAACCGGAGGGTTCACAAAGTTAGAACCGGAGGGTTCACAAAGTTAGAACCGGAAGGTTCACAGAGTAGGGTCCACGGACCCACATAGTTATAGCCTCGACTGGCTAATATGTGTTATGTGTGGTATTTTGGGGAACTCACTAAGCTTCGTGCTTACAGTGTTTTGTGTTATGTGCTTCAAGTTTCTCTCGGGATCACGGGACGACACCGGCTTGATTGTACACACCAGAGAAAGAGTCATGTTTTGAGGATTCTGGTTTATTATGCAAGTGAAAATTGAGCTATGT